GAAAAGACACAAAAGAGGACTCAATTCAATAGAAGCTTCGGGTCTGTGCACACAGAAAACCGTAGCTTACCGGATTAAGTTTCTTTAGCATCATCAACCTTTTTCAAATTTATACATATATCTGTGCTTCTCTTTCACCCGGATATTGACATTTTTAATTATATTTTATGAGACATGGAGCAAATGTATGCTAACTTATGCGCTGCCAGGTAGATCAGTAAACTTGTGCATCTAACCTGTATACCACGTTACAAATTAGTTCTGATTGGATCCCTGTCCAAATCGTCCCTCCCTAACATTTCATCTCGTTTTTATTTGTTGATGAAAATTTCAATTGATTTTCATCATAGTTTTTGTATTTCAATACGTTTTTTTATTAATTATAATTTCATTGGTGAAAAAATTTTGTTGACATTATTTTCGTCAACGAAATTAACGCTGGACCACACCTTTATAAAAAAATTATTTACTGATAATGTTAGAATTAAACTCACATTTACTGTTGTTTGGTGCATTTTCACAGTCAAATTTAATAATTTTAATAAGAATCTGCATGATTGGAAATTTAGTTTGAAAGATTTCACCATGCAGATTTTGTATCGGGTTGACCAACAGAAAGCTGGTTGGTTTAAAAGTGACTTCCATATTAGCTATATATATACAGTGGGTACGGAAAGTATTCAGACCCCCTTAAATTTTTCACTATATATAGTATAGTTAGCCAATCGTATGCAACACTGGAAAGGTAATGTAATTGGCTGTTGTCACTATGATGGTCTGTCTGTCAGCACCAAGCTTCAAACACGCCCTCCATCAAGCGTTGACGTCAACACTCCATTTGAATGCCCCGTCATAATACACAAAATGTCACTTGTTATCATCTATTGGTATAACAATATAACCTGCACCACTAAATCCCCACCACTAATACTCACACTGACAGTGTGACTAGAACGCCACAAAGAAAGACTAGCAGAGTGATACAAACATTGAAAAGTCCCAGTGCTGCTCATTACTCCTAGTCGTCTGCTCAGCCAGTCAAATTTAAAAGGGTCCTATTATGCTTTTTACACTTTCAACTTCCTTTAGTGCATATGTTGCTGTTTGCGCATGAACAAGATCTGCAAAGTTACAAAGCTCAAAGTCCACTCCAAAGGGAGTTATTCTCTGTATCAGCACTGTTTCTGATCTCCACAAATGCCTTGATTGTAGTCCATTTAAGGATGGGTATTCAAGTAACATATATATATATATATATATATATATATATATATATATAAATAATACCACTATCACTATGATAGTGTTGTTCTCAATATCTGCAGGGTTGTGATTACCTGTGGCCTTGTGCCTGTCAGCTAAAACCTATAAAAGATTATCAGATTTTCTATAATTAGCCACTTTTCAAATGCACATGGAAAAAAAACACTTACTCATCCAACACATTTTTTTTTAATGAGTGTAGTGACGACAAACTGAGCATGCTTGTTTTCCCTCACAATAACTCTTGGCATTGGTCCTGAGGATGTATTTCCATTGTAACTTATAGACCATAGTTATTTATAGCATAAAACACCTACACGAGCACTTTTAGTTTTGGGAGTTTCTCTATACAGGGGTGGCGATCGTTGGTTGGAGAGCCACAGCCCTGCAGAGTTTTGCTTCAACCCTAATCAAACACACCTGAACAAGCTAATCAAGGTCTGAAGGGTTACTAGGAAGCTACAGGCAGGCGAGTTTTTATTAGGGTTTTTATTAGGGTTGGTACTGAACTCTGCAGCGCTGCGGCTCTCCAGGATCGGAGTTCGCCACCCCTGCTCTATAGCCTACCATTTCCAAAAATATTCCAAGAAAGTGACAGCTTAGGGAAGAGTGAGATTTTCATATTATGTGAAAAGATGCACCATTATATTATTAGACCTCCATACTGTATCATTATTCACACTCGTTTATGTAAATATGATTTATGGTCATAACTGAAATGAAGTACAAAGAATACCACTAAAGGCCTAAATGTTTATACTATAAAGATTAGGCAAATAAGTCTCAGAGGCCTGATGAGTAAATAAGATGCTGTCCTTGGGGACTGCGGTGAGGATATAGAAATGAATGTAGCTCAATACTGCCTTCTTGTGTATGATTTGTATAAGTGCAACCAATACAAGAGGCAGAAGACATCTCTTCCATTTAAGAATTTGTTAAAGTAGCAATTTACACATATATTTTAAATTGTTCTTAAGAAAAAAAATGTAGAAAGGTTATAGTAGTTTTTCATATTTAGCTTATAACCCTGTTCCTTGGCAGTAGGCTCAGATAGAGTTTAGATGTTCATAATTTTGTAAATGTTCTAAGCCTAAGGCTATGCAAAACTGAACCAGAATGATCAAAGGAAGCACATGTTAACTTTCTGCATGTGCCATTCAGCTACATAATTTACAGGTGTCCTCAGTAATGTTTTCCTCATTAAAATCTTTTACACAAAGACATGACTAGTACATTTGGGGAAAAAAATAACTGCAGGCAGTCTCACACAATAAATGAATCACCTCTGACTGCTAACAAAATCAAGTCAGAGAGCCAACTGTTTTTTTTGTGTCATGCTCTCATCTAATGTAAATATCAAAATGTATTATATTGCCTTAAATAATTTATAGCCAAACTCACATTTCAGTATAAGTTCAAGATGACTGCCATGTCATCCCGCATATAAACTACTTACAGAGGGCACAGAGAGTTCAGAGAAAAACCCAAATGTTGACTACATTTGGTGTAAATGAAATACTAGCTCACAACGTAAATAAAACACAGTTCAAGAGGAAAAATGCTGTTTATTAATATAGGTTGAAATAATCTCCATATACCACATAAAGACTTTTTTCGGTGCAAGTCCTCAACGATCACATTCTATTAAAAGGATATTTCACCCAAAAATTAAAATTGTATAATTTACTCACCTTCATGTTGTTCCAAACCTGTATGCATTTCTTTCTTCTGTTGAATGCAGAAGAAGATATTTTGAAGAATGTAGGTAACCATACAGTTGGTGGTAGCCATTGGCCTCTATAGTATAGCGAGAAGAAAAAAAAATGGAACTATAGAAGTCAATGGCTACCAGCAACTGTTTGGTTCCCAACATTTTTCAAAATATCTTCTTCTGTGTTCACAAGAAGAAACTAGTACAGATGTGGAACTACTTGAGGGTGTGTAAATGATGACAGGATTTTCATTTTTGTGTCAACTATCCGTTTAAGGCTAAGGCAAAAAAAAAACATTTAAAAGCCAGCATTGTTAAATCTCAGTACAGTCATGTTCTTAATATCTGAACAATAAAGAGAAACAGTTAAATTCCCTTTCACAACCCATCGTTCCATTTAAACACCAGAATGTCAGAGATTTGCATAAACCCACAGTGCTTGGTTGATGATGCTCCTTGGTTGAGAGACAGAGCAATGTGACAATACTTTAATATCTGCTGATTCCAATCAAAACTCGTACAAAGAAACCTGACCCCCCCCCCTCCCCCCCTACTGTCCCCTCAAACTTGTGCATAGATTCTTAATCCTTTCACAACATCTTATTTCTGCATCTAGTGTTAAACCTAGATGGAGAATTAACTTTTCATCCCGCACTCAAAACCTTGTAAGAAAATCTAGTAAGAGTTCAAGTTCTGTGTTGATCTACAGTTCTCAGGCCTCGACCGAATTTTTAAAACAAGTAAAGACGAGAGGATGGAATATCAAGCATCTTTTACTGGACCTTGTTGAGAAACATCAGGCAAGGTAAAATCAAACAGTGGTAGGTCCTTCCACAACCTAAACAAAACTGTATTTGTACATAAAGCGACTGATATAAACAAACAAACAAACATATTTCAAATGGAAAGTACTTCACTTCTAGAAATATAGCACACAGGTTCACTACAAATCTAATATTTGGCAAATGTGTGTCTGCTACAGATTAAAATTCAAAGACATTTTTAAATCCATAACCTTCAGTGCTTAGAGCTGGATTTCCATCAACATCTTTTTTTTTTCCTTTCATTAATCGATTTGTTAATTTCTCATGATAATCAACATCATAACAGTGGAACTGGAACTCTGGACCCCTAATCTTCCTGAGAAAATATCCAAGTCCATTGTCAGTGTGCAAGACAGTGACAGAATCATGTTGCTTTTACAGAAACTAAAATTCAAAGCCATTTAGGCCAAGTTCAACCAACAAGAAGAACAATAATGTAATTCATAAGCAAAATACAATGCAACACTGAAACAATCCCAGAGTTCAGCAAGTAGCAAACGTCTTCACTTGAAAAGTTTTTTTTTTTTTTTGATAGATGTAATTGTAAAAGTTTTTTCTTGCATTCTTGTAATCTTGCAATTTCTTTGATTTTCTTTACTTTTCATTTTTTTGCAAATTCAGACAGTTCAATCATTGGTAAACGACAGGTTGATTTAAAAAGAAAAGGAATTTCACAGAATGGAAGAGAGGCACCTTTTGAAATGAGTCAGAATGTCACTAACTATCTGGTTATCTTTACTGTTCATCCATGAATGTAACTGCTTCTCTACCAACTTTCTCACTATGGCTAAAGTTCATTTTTTTTATCTTCTATTAAAAATTTTTTTTTTAAATAATGCAATAGAATTGACTCTTCAAAATGATAACTCTTGTGGGAATTAATCCACAATAAAAGCCACTATGAGGATACAATTTTACAGGTTTTAAACATTTTAAGATGAAAATAAATCCATCAAGTCCTTGAGTAAACATGAACACATGAATTGTCATAATCTCCCTTGCAGTTATCTGTTTTTTTTTTTTTAGTATAGCTGAGCAAGGGAAAAAAGACACTCAGTGTAACCTAAATAGTAACCATGGTGGAACAATTTTTAAAACAGGCGCACATACAAATAACAGAGACAGTACAACATACTAAATGGATCATAATTGCAGACAGTCGCCCCGTGATGAGAAGCAGTGATTAGAGAGCACACACACACAACCATTCAATTTTTTTTTAACCATTCAAAGATTTTTTTTCTTTCTCATGAAGAATGTTAAACCTTGTGAGCATGTTATCAAATAACTTGAAAGTGTCAGACCCAAACAAAAATTTAAGAAAAAATAAATTCACATTTTACAATTGGCACACTTTAATTCAAGTATCGGTGAATATATATCTTTTGATATGTTTATGATTTTTCATTCTTTGCCCAGAGACAAAAACATGGTTCATAATTACGGGTTTCAACATAGGTATACACAAATACTGCATGTATGTCCTGTGTAATTTAATTTTAAACATGCTACTCCAAGTAAGACTATTTGGTTCATATCTATCATTAATCACTCTTTCGTTTTTTTTTTCATTTAGGCAAATTTTCTCGATGACACACTGCAAGGTCTATTGCTTATTTCAAATTATATTTTACCTAGTAGTTTCAAAAGGGAATGAATCAGAAATCTGATAGCATTTTTCTACATAATGAGCGTGATAATACACAGGATAATGTTTAGCTGTAGTCTACCTATGCTGGTGTCACCAGAGACTTCCTGTGATGTTTGACTGTTTGGAATTACAGCCATATTGTGGTTCACTGTCAGCCAGCCGCGACTGAGTTTGGAACAAGGCAGTTACATACACAGGCAACAGTGATCCCCCACACCCAGAAACAGAAAAAAAATAAGTCAATGAACAACTTTAGTATCTTAAGACACATCTGTTGAAATGTCTTTTCCCAAAAGAAGAAATCTTATACAGCATAAAGGCCCAAAACGAACTTGGACTGAGATGGAAATGTACAGTTCAGGGCCCCATTTTTACAAACAAACAGTTAATACGGCATACACAAAAGGCACTCCAGCTTGCCGTCAACCTTCAGAATGTGACCAGCAAACAGGAGATAATATCAGCAAGAAGTGCGTTTTTAAATGTTATAGATCTTTTTCCTTCATTGTTTATGTGTTTTTGTCAAACTTTTATATATATAAAAAAAAACTTTTAATAAAATGCCAAAAAGTACTAGGGATTACTCATGAACTGTATGCCATTAGCACACCATAATCCCCAATGCTGTTAAAGTTCTTGTTTGTTATAAAGGATTCTTCCAATGACAGTAACAAGATTATCACAAATAATCAGCATGAGGTGACAAATTTCTGACGAATATCCTCAACCCTTTTGAACCCAATCCCACCTCAAACACACAAGAATCATCAAAGTGCCTCTGAACAGAACTGCTCTACAACAAAACGACACACATTGGAATTTAAGATGTGAAGTCAGAGATGCCACAGTGTACCGTTCATATATCTATGTATATATTGGCACATGCGACCATAAGGGGAATTCAACACAACCAGCATCAGAGAGGTAAGATACACAATATACATTTACTGTATAAACGAACGGATGGCTCTGCAGTCCCTGTTCAAAAGGATTGAGAAGACTTAAACTAGCCACCCTCCTAAATGTACTGCCCCACTGATAAATATCCTCTTGCGTTTCTTTAATGTACACTTTGTAAGCTTCACACACATCATTTAACGTGTAAAACGTTAATGTGTAAATGATAAATCTTCAAAACGATCAACTTTCAATAAACATAAATTTAGTTAATCTTGTCGTGCCCTGAGATTATATTGAAACGAGATTTATCAAATTCAGCAGAATTAACACACAGACCTCCAAAAATGACACTGGCTTAGTGTCAGACAACACTGTTTGTTTACAAGTTTACAAGGATGACAATGGCCTTGAGTATGTAAGAAAGTATTACGGGAGGACTGTGAGATATTTCCAACTTTCTTTCAAAGCCACAGATTGGCACAGAGCGGACATTACTTGCCTATCTTCTCTAACTTTGCATAGTGACAGCATGCCATGTGCTCTAGTTAAAGAACCAGTGGCAGAAAGAGTCTGTCCATAGAAACACTGCTTGGACAGGGCTTTTTCAAGTACGGGCGGCTTGTCTCGGTAACAGGGTTGGCTTCACTGAGGCCACATAAGAGAAAGAGGATGCTAGCAGCTGAGTTAGAGGTGGGACACCCAGGGTGAGGTCACACACACGCACATCAACAAAAGAGGCCCTAAATGACCTAAAAACACTGTTAACAACAAAAACAAGTATGGCCCACATCATTGATCTTCGTTTGCGTTCGTTACACAGGACAGCTATACAGAGGCACCTCTTTTAAAGTGTATATGCATATGAGCACTGTAGGCAGTTAAAGACCACTGCATGAAGACCAAAAGAATGTGAAAAAGCATGTTTCACAACACTGGCAATTCAATTCAGTCTCAAACTCCAGCGAAAAAAATCATGCAAGACCACGCGAGGGAGGGAGTAGGTACGCATGAGAGGTGTGATGTTATCCAGAGAAGGAACGGGGAGACATTCCAAATTATTACAACACGGATGCAAATGATAAATGATGACGACAACGTCCATATCATGACGTCATTAATGTCCTTTCTTGCATTCCATTGTACTAGGTGAGAGTTGCGATGGAGAATCAAACGTCCTCCTATCAGTTCCCACATTGAGGCACTAACACCACACATCCTCTTTTTCAAATCCAATCAAATGGAGGTGCCTATTTCAGACAGATAAAGACATTTGACTATTTCATTTGAGTAACAATGACATTCACTTTGATAGAGATGGGGGGAAAGTACAGACACAAAAAACATACATTGCAAGTTTTGTATGATTGTAGTTTGTTCTTCCCTTCATTCAGAAGTTTCTGGAACAGAGATGGACGACAAACAAATACGTTTTTTTGAATAACAGTAAGGTCCAAAAAAAAAAAAAAAGTTTAAAGTTGCCATAAGAAGTTTTTTTTTTCCTTTCTTTTTTTTAAACTATATGCTCCATTATCTGATTTATTGGCTTCACAGAAGGAGCATAACTCTTGTAATAAGTGCTATGATAATACCCCTTTAAGAAGAGACAATGTGTCTTTTATGTTTGTACCAAATGCAAAGGTCTCTTACTCTGTACTGCATTAAAATAAACCCATTGTATTTGGTATTGTGCCTGACTCCCGTGCCATGTGTCTCCGCTCTGGATTCCGTTTCTGTTTGGTGAAGAAGTGGCTGGGAGACTGTGTGATCCCACACATGCCAAGTTCAAAACTGCATGGAGTGACGTCAAACACAATTAACAGTTCCCCCTTTCCACGTAAATACCAAACAGCCAGCAAGCCAGACAAACAGAGGCAAGGTAGGAAAATGTTCAAAGGTTAAATTCTTCCAAAATCTTCGAGAAAAAAAAAAGGAGTCTTAAGTTTCAGTAAGCTTCAGTGTGGACGGAAGAAAGGGTCTCTGGCTTCTATTGCACAATGCATCAGAATGAGTTTCATCTCGAAGTTGTATCTCAATAAAATGGCCGATCAGATACATAACATAGTAACTAAATATCTTCTGATTGATTCAGCACTGAAGTCCATTAGGTATAATTAAAAAGCCTCCACTGAGTGTTTTTAACAGTGGTTATGTATTCGCGCACAGATGCTTGGTCAAGTTCCAGCAGACACTGACATTCATTCATCTACATCAAAGCTTAATATTCAGCTTTTTTTTTTTTAACCATACACATTAAAAAAACAAAAAAAAAACAACTGGCGTGAGTAAATAGAAATCATAGAGCAGTGCAGCTCCCTTTTGTAAAACTAAAATAATTGAAGAAAAAAGATCATTGGTGATTCGTCATGCTGACAGGCCACTGCTAGGAGTGTTCTTCTCATTTGCTCTGGCCTATTCACTGGCTCAGAAACAGAACTGTGCAAGATACAAAGTTTTTTTGTTGGTTTATAAAATAAAAGTTTTCAAGGAGGACCTGGAGAGAGAGCACTTACGGCTAATAGAAGTTCTGAAGAAACTATGGAAAGTTTAAAACCAAAAAAAGTACCAGGATCATCCCAATCATCAGAACAGTGTTGTTATAGGGAAAGTTGTCATGAGGTCTCACTTTGTCTGGGTCGCTTTCAGATGGTTGCCTCGTTGATGGCTTCTCCTGAACAACACTTTTGAGCAAAAACATCCTTTGGAAATAAAAAAGCATCAAAAGGCTTCTGCTTCTATTGATTCTTGCTTCTCAAGATCTTTGAACACTAAGAACAAGATCCACGAACACAACAAACAGTCTGACGTAAAAACCCGAGGACAAATAAACAGCAGTGGAAGGTTTGCAGCTTTGTTTCACCCTAAACCTCCGTTACAGCTCCACAAAAAGTGATTATCGCCACATTGATTTGCTTCCGATACATCCTACATGCTCTCTCCGCTCAGCAGGTCTCCCGGGATCAGAGTGTTAATTGGGATGGGGCTGCCAATTACCCTGGGGTCGTCTCCATTTGGGGGAGCCCACAAACTGGAGTACTGCGGCACACCGCCCCACAGCAGGTCGCCTCCGTTTCTGCGGCTGCTGTTCCTGGTACTACAGACTGTCTTGGTACCTCCTCCACCCCCGCTCCAGAGGCCTGTGGGGTGGCTGGCAGCAGGGTTGCCCAGCCGGGGTTGATTGGAGCCTGGTGCTTGGCTGGCCTGCCAGCTGGTGGTGGGGGTGAGGGACTGGCCCTCTGCAAAGAAGCGGTTCACATCGTCCTCACCGGCAAACTCTGCCAGGATGGTAGTGTTACCCAGCACACACCTTGAGAGGTAGACAAACAATTGGAAGGGATTCAAGCATGAAAAAGCTTTCTTGATGGATAATACATAAAATCAGCTTGAAGAGAGAAAGACAATGCACATTTATGCATTTACACAGGTTTTCAAAAAATATAGGACTTGAATTTAGAAAAAAAAGGCATACGGCTAACACTATTAATCGTAAATATAACTATAAATCTGTTCTTGAACATTTTTTCATGCCCTGTCTCAAATGGCACACTTCAGTCTTGTGGACATACAATGCCAGCCGTGTGCACATGACTGTAAAGTCCATGAGACTGTAGGGCTCCGTAGCAGACTTTTAACCAACAGTCAAATTGGTTAACATTACAAAAGTGTGGACTCCGTGGGGTTTAGGTTGCCATAGGTTGGGACAGCGCCTCAGAGACGTATGATGTAGAAGAGCTTGTAGTCTTACATGTGCAGGGATTTTTGGGCTTTGGCAGTCTCCTCCTTGGAGCTGTAACGTACAACAGCATTGCCCTGCGTCAGGTTCAGATGGAAGGTAATGAGAGGGCCGTGCTGCATGCACAGAGTCCGCAGGGTGGAGCCATCAATCTGATGCACACACATAAATAAATTATTAAATTATTGTTATTCATATTCAAGTGCTAAAGGGCTGTTCAGAGAGAATGCGTTCTTGCAAAAACAGGCAAGGAATAGTAAAAAAGAGCTGCACAGAATGCAAGGGTTTTGAAATGCCCTTTTTATGATTACGAACACATTATACACACATAAATCTGTGTCTCGTTGCTAGGTGGTGAGTTAGTGACAAATAAAAACAATGTGTTCTAAAATCCTCTCTTATATCCCCGTATAGCTAAAAACCTCATATTTTAATGCTGAAAAATTATACATTATCCAACAACGCTTAGAATATGCCTGCTTATGTCTCCTTCTGATTGGCCCAGTGCTTTGAAGCTGATATTGTTGAGGTTTGCTGTGTGTCAAAACTTTTATACTCATATCAAAGATGCTGAAAAAAATAGCAAGACATACTGCAGCAGTAAAAAATGTTTTTACATTTTTTAACAATTCTTTACGTTGCAAAACAATTAAATAGCAGCACAGTGCCCCCAAAAAACACTAAAATAGTATAGTGCATAATGCTACATAAAAACTCAACACATTTGTTACATAAAAAGTGACATATAGTTCTGTACTTTCATGCGATATGAATCGGAATAAATCATACTAGTTTTTACAGTAATATAAATTGTTTGCGCTATGCACCTGAGGAGTGAGGTTTCTCAGCACCAGCCAGCTGCTTCCTCTGTTGGGACTGTCAGTGCTCCAAGTTCCCCCTTCTATAACAAAAAATAAAGAGAGACAGGTCTGGAAAAACATGTTACAGCTGAGCATATTTTCCACTAAATACTTCTGCCCATTTACAACTCTAAACACACAACTTGAGACAGAGTCTGACTGGTCGGCCACACTACAGCAGAACCTCGTAAGTAACTGGTTGTGCTGCTTTGTACCACACAGGTGTACTGAGGATTTACCTGACGAGTAAGAGTTGGTCCAGCCCTGGCTGAAGCCAAGAGAGTTTCCTCCCCAGGTGGAGGAGGACTTGGTGTTGGTCAGGCCTGGAGGGGGGCGTGAGGGAGCACTGGAGTTACGTGTCCCTGTGGAAACCTTCCATAACTCATGAGATAAAGACGCCTGTGTGTGGGAGATGGGTCCAGGGGACCAGGTAGACTTCATTTCCAAGAGTTTACCTGAAGAAAGGGAGGAGACGAAGAAAGAGAAGGACAAATGAATAACAGCAGCAGGTACAGTCACTACTCATTGTTGCCTCTAAGGATTTGTTAAAACAATATGACAACATAAATTTGTTTCTGCTTGGGGTTATGCAAACAGCCACAGTGGGGTAGAGAATGTCCATTCCAAAGGCCATTTATTTAAAATAAATGCTGTTCTTTTTAAATTTCTATTCATCAATGAATGCTGAAAAAATGTTATCACAGTTTCCACAAATATATTAAGCAGCACAACTATTATTTTATTACTAAGAATTATTTATTGAGCACCAAAACAGCATATTAAAATGATGAGACAATGAAGACTGTAGTAATGGCTGCTGAAAATTCAACTTTGCCATCACAGGAATAAATAATATTTTAAATATTTTATTTAAAATATTAAAATAGAAAACAGTTTGTAGTATATTTCACAATATTACTGTTTTAGTGTATTTTTAAACAAATAAAAGCAGATTAGGTGAACCTAAGAGACTTATTTAAGAAACTTTAAGAAAGTTTTTAAAAAATATTACTGACCCTAAACTTTTTTATAGTAATCGCTAAAAACGTTGACACTATTACCAGTATTACCGAAACGGGAAATCTGTGAAACTGTATGATAGAGATACTTGATTCAACAGAATGATATAAGGAATGAAGTGTTCAGCTTTTTAGAATATTGTACATGTTTATTATAAGATTATTATAAATGTCTGCTTGTATAAACTACTGCAACCCTCCCTCAACAGTGTTTTAAACATTAAAATATTCACTCTTAAAAAGTATCTTGCTGACTTTTTCAAATGCTACATGCTCTGAATGGCCTCAGAGAGTAACACATTCTGTATATATGCATATATATAAACTTAAAATTAGTTTATTGTTTATGACAATGATCAACATTTAAAACAGGAAGAAGTATAACAGAACAAGGGAGAATGTGGGTTTTAGGAGAACACACACTTGGTGAGGGACTGTCTAGGTATAAGGACAGGGGCCAAATAAGGGTATAAGTAGGTCTAGTATGGGGCAGAGCCATTTAGGATTTAGGGCTGTACCTGTCCACTCACTCGAGGAAGACATGGTCCCATTCTGAGATGGGGATGAGGCTATTATGGGCATTTGTCCCAAATAGACCGCAAAAGGGGCAGGGAGAAACAGTGAAATACATTTACTGTGTAATGATCCTTAAAATAGTGATTTCTGTTATAGCTTTAGTTAATATGCAAGACAGTTCAATGTTCATTTAGCAGTAAAAATTTCATCAACATTTTAAGTAACAAGCTCTGTTGGTCTGTTATAACTTATGTCATAAGCCATCAATCATCCCTCACCTCCAGTCCTGTCACGTAACAGGTAGCGATTCACATCCTGTATGTTAGTGTTAATGGTGGGGCCACTTGGAACGCTTCCTGGCGTCATGTTGGGATCATTCTCAGGGTCAATGTTCTGCAGACCTTTCCATGGCACCCCAGGGCAGAATTCTGAGAGAAAGGAAGAACAAAATTGGTTTTCCAGCATAAAATTCAAAGTATATAACAGGTGTTGGCAACCTTTTGGTCATGGAGTTCCATCTTTAATTTGTCTGGTTAATTACTGTGCCATCCCATACACATAAAAAAACATGACCAAGATCTATGCGGACCAGGCTCTATGGCTTGGCGGCCAAATCTATGTGATTTGCGGATTAGTTGCAAAGCTTAACCATCATAAAGTGAAAGTATATAATTTTAACTTGTGTCTAAGTCTTGCCAATTTAAACATTTAAGCAATTTTAAACCATTCAAGCGCAAGAAGAGGATAAAGAGAAGGAGTCTCATAACACTCATAACAGAAAGAAATCGCATGTGTAACAGTATATTGGATCCGCGCATTAGGTCTTAAAGGGACAGCAAAACACAACTTTAACAAAGATGAATCTATATTTAACTTATACAGTGAACACTTTGCAGTATTAATTTACACTTAATTATTATATTTATGTACCTGAAATCTAGTGCGCATTTGTTTACTAGTGCAGGCTATTTCTCACACTTTGTAAGTATTTAAAGCTCCTAATTTAATAAATCAGGCTGTGAGGAATCAGGCTATGATGATTGATTACCTCAAAATGCATGTTGGTATGAGGGTTTGAGGGACTTTATTCAAACGAAATACCTCTTTTGCTATTGCTTGTGTGCCAGTGTTTATGCCTTTGGGTGCCAGTGTTTATGCCTTTGGGTGCCAATGCTAGCATGTGTGCCATAGGTTGCCGATGTTTGGTCTACAATCACTATGACCAACGGCATATATTTTTTAAATTATAATATGCGACTGAAGCTTACCAGGAGGCCAGTTGATATTGGAGTTACTAGAAATTTTCTCATTGGGACCTTTGCCCTGTGTCCAGTTGTCTGGAGACACCAAGGATTCAGATCTTGACATCAGATTGTATGGGCTGAAGGAATCTTCCATGGTGCTCTTTCCGACAGGCACATGGGACTGAGCAGAAGAGACTGAACCTGAAACAAAAAAGCAATCTGTTTAATCTGTATATTCACAGGAGGTTTTACTCAAAAACATCATATAATAAAACATTTAGAGACTAAGCAACCAAACTCAGATATACAGTATATTATGATGCCCAATATATCTCTGAAAAAAATCCATCTTCAAAGATACAATCTGAATAATAAAATTCAAGATTACAGGCTTGAGCTTTTGTCCTCAGCTGAACTCACTCCAGTAAATTGCTGTGGGTTGGCTGGACTTACTGTTCAGGCAAGGTTTAGTGAGAACAAATGCCAAGGAAGGATAATATTTTAAAAGGCCCTGCTGACTCAGAGTAAAAATAACTCTGGAATGTCTGCAAGCACTTAACTTGAGAGAGAGTTTTGTCTGTCCTTTTGAAATACACAAATCTCAGAGACAGAAATTGTGACTCAGTGTCTGGAGTTTGATGTTTGATTAAAGATATTGCGAGTGAGTGAGTGACGTGACATGTGGCCAATATGGTGACCCATACTCGGAATTAGTGCTCTGCATTTATCTCATCCAAAGTGCACACACACAGCAGTGAACACACACACACACACACCGTGAACACACACCCGGAGCAGTGTACAGCCATTTTTTTGCTGCGGTTCAGCGAAGTTCAGATATTGGGCATCATAATATACTGTATATCTGCGGCGCCCGGGGAGCAGTTGGGGGCTCGGTGCCTTGCTCAAGGGCACCTCAGTCGTGGTCTTGAAGGTGGTAGAGAGCGCTATACATTCACTCCCCCCACCTATAATCCCTGCCGGTACGAGACTCGAACCCGCAACGTTTAGGCCACGACTTCTCCCCAAGTGGTTGCTGAGGTTTCATTGAATGTAATGTTGTTTGTGGAAGCAGAAGTCTTTTAAAGGATATTAGACCTAGAGGATATCATATGATTGTCTAGACATTACAGATTAGATTAGAAAAACGTATGTATGTCACAGCACAAAATCAAGCCCATAATATGTCTGGAGCAATAAATAAATTAATACCGTGCTTATTGAGGTTTGCCTCCATGTGCTGAGCGCTAGCTGACAGGGAATCTATGGAGTTTGAATGAGTCCACTGTGAGAGCCGGGACTGAGGCTGGGGGGGGTCTTTAAGAGATAGACTTCCCACCTCCATACAGTTTACATTCATGTTTGGGTTCAAACCAGCTACAGGGGGGCGACAAAGAGACAAGGAGATTAATGGACATTCACACACATAAACACAAGGCAAAAAAAAACAAAAAAAAAACATTGATCAAGATCAAAATAACTAAAAAAAACAAAAAAAAAACATTGATCAAGATCAAAATACCTAAAAAAAAAAAAAAAAAAAAACTATAGGTTGTCAATCAATGAATAAAAAAATTATCACATTTATTACACAATATTCCAATTCATTATTCACTTATATCAATATTTGTTGAGAAATGCCCCAATGAAGCCTCAAATGGAGAAGGGTCTGGCTGCAGCCTGGCGTTTGCACTCTCAGACGTGCATTCTCAGGCTTGCACTCTCAGACACTTGCACTTCCGCTAGCGACGTCACTTGCAGTCTTTTTTATTTTGTTCTATTTATTTATTCTTTTTGTTTGAATCTCTCAACATTTTACAACAGTAGCCAGGTGGTGAAGACAAGAAATCGACACAAATCGTGCATGTTGCCAATGGAGACAAGACGCTGTGGTGATTAAACGATTAAAACTAATTTAGTACTATAACGTACATTGTCCTGCAATTGTCCAGTTATTATGCCACATTAAGCGTTTTGCTTTATGGGAGGACAAGTGAAAGTTTGCGCATTGTGTTCATGGCCATCTGCTTGCCTTGTAGTACATTAATTGATAACTATATATCGAATTTGATCTTTTAATTGCACTTAATGTATCTTAATACATTACACCATGTTAAGTGTTTATGTTTTTCTACAGGAGGAAAACGCTTAACGAGAGACTTTGTGCATTGCGTTCATATTCTGCTGTTCTGTGGCCACGGATTTGCGGGTCTCGTCTTTTTCTTGCAGGACCCTGTATGTTATAGTACTAAATTAGTTTTAATCGTTTAATCACCACAGCGTCTTGTCTCCATTGGCAACACGCACGATTCGTGTCGATTGCAAGTGACCTCGCAGGTATCGGAGAGTGCAAGTGGCGATTGCAAGTGACTTCGTAATTTAGTTTCTTTTTTCTTGTCTTCACCACCTGGCTACTGTTGTAAAATGTTGAGAGATTCAAACAAAAAGTAATCAATAAATAGAACAAAATAAAAAATAAAAAAGACTGCAAGTGATGTCGCTAGCGGAAGTGCAAGTGTCTGAGAGTGCAAGCCTGAGAATGCACGTCTGAGAGTGCAAGCGCCAGGCTGCAGCCAGACCCTTTTGCCCAAATGAAGATAATTGAAAGGCATTGTTATGGCAAACAAAAAAATTATTTAAGTACAGGTAAAGGGACAAAATAAATTGCATTACATTTTTTATTGCATTGTTTTATACTTTTTTAAATCACACTAAATAAATGTTTTAAATTGACTATAATTACAAACAATGCTTTTATTACAATAAAGAAATCAGTGCAATTATCAGCTACTATTTAATTGTAATTATTTGAATAATTAAATGGTAACAAGGACATCTTAAAACAAAGTGTAATTTTTAATAGCATGTACTTATTCTAGGGTTATGGTTTGTCTTAGTCTTAGTTGCTTGTAATTCTGTATAATGTACTGGTATTACTACGGTAACATAAAATGGATCATAACATGGACATTGTAAAATAAAGTGAAAAGCATGTGTCCACATGAGGCTTGTTCTCTTACAGAGTGTATAAGGGCTGAAGGAGTTTGGAGAAGACTGCTGCTCTTTGGTTTGCAGGTCTGAGACGGAGATGCCTGAAGTCTGAGGGTGACCCGTGAAAGTGTCCAGGCTGGCCTTGCCAAGGTTTGGGTGCAGGCCAGTGTGAGAGGAAGGTGGAGGCTGCTGCTGTTTCATAAGCAGGGCCTGGGCCAGCTGACGCTGGTGCTGCTGGATCTGCTGCTGCATGTTTGTGATTGTACGTGCAACCTGTGTGAGAGGACGGAAACGATAATCATTTTCATTGTGTATGGAGGATTATTTGTCATAGTCATCAAAAGATAATTATGAACTAATACTTTAGGATTTAAATTACTGTAACTGTATAAATATCAGGGACAGTAAAATTGGAGTGTGTATGTGTCATACTTGCTGCTCTTGTTGTTTGATGGGACCAGAGACATTACGCTGAGCCTGCATCATTTGCTGCTGAATCTGCAAACGCTGATACGCCTAACAGAAAGAGAAAAAGATGCAAGGTGAGAAAGAGAGGAACATACAGAGAAATATAAAGTAATAAAAATAGAGATAGAAAGGTCACAGGGTCATTATCAGAACAGAAAGCACTAGCATCTCGCTCCCTGCAGATAGGCCAGTGGGTAGATGACAATCATTGGTATTCATGTGGAAACAGCAGAGCAGGAGAGTGAACTGTTTGACTCACCACATGCAGTTGTTGTAGTTGGTAGAGCAGGGTCATTTGTTGAGGATTTATTGGTGAGGTTAAAAGTGCAGGATTCAGTCCAATGTTTTTTGCCGCAAACTGTAAGAGCTGTGCTTGAACCTACAGAAAAAAGCAAAAACAAGCCGGTTTGTGCAAAACCTGATGATCCATGCTATCCACCATGATTTGAGAAAGTTTCAAAGAGAATCTTATGTGTTTTAGTGGAAGCAAGGAAATCTGACATTTTGGTCAATATCACAAAATTGCTTTTATTAAAGGGTTAGTTTACCCAAACATGAAAATTAGCCCATAAATTACTCACCCTCAAGTCATCCTAAGTGTATATGACTTTCTTCTATCAGACGAATCCAGTCGGATTTATATAAAAAATTGTCTTTGATCTTTCAAGCTGGTACTCAGCGGGTGTTGCATACATCAGTCCAAAAGAAGTTAAATAAAAAGCGCCCATCCATAAAAACGTCTCACACGGCTCCGGGGGGTGAACAAAGGCCTCCTGTAGCGAATCGATGCGTTTTTGTAAGAAAAATATCCTTATTCAAAACGTAATAATCACTTTAATGTAGCTTGCGCTCACTGTTGTAAACGGAAGCAGCTCCGGGCGGATGATGTATGAGGTCGGCTTTGCGCATGCGCCGCTCAGAAGTGACGAACGTGGAAGCGCAGGGGAAAGATCAAAACAAAGCAAGGTCACTAATTAGAAGTACAAAATGAGGATTTGTAAAGAAGAATGTCGGAGGATTTCGATAAAAGCCAAGAGGAGAATGGTTTTCCTTTGCTAAAGTAATGAAACTTTGCTTCCTTTGCTCCTGTTAACAAACGTTGGTTATCACGAGACACACCGGCACATGCGCAGCGCAGCGCTGACCTGATACGTCATCAGCCCGTAGCTGCTTCCGTGTACAACTGTTGGTGCAAGCTACATTAAAATGATTATTACGTTTTGAATATGGATATTTTACTTACAAAAACGCATTGATTCGCTAAAGGAGGCCTTTGCTCACCCCCCGGAGCCGTGTGAGACAATTTTTTTTATGGATGGGCACTTTTTATTTAACTTCTTTTGAACTGATGCATGCAACACGCGCTGAGTGGCATTAAACAGCTTGAAAGATCAAAGACAATTTTTAATATAACTCCGACTGGATTCGTCTGAAAGAAGAAAGTCATATACACCTAGGCAGGGCTTAGAAAAGTAAGCGTCGAGCCCTGCTAGGATGAGTAATTTATGGGCTAATTTTCATTTTTGGGTGAACTAACCCTCTAATGACATATACAATTCTAAATATACATAATTAATTTCACATCAGTGACACCTCCTGATGAAAATGAACAAAATTCAATTTTTGGACAAACTACCCCTTTAAGTTACATTTACATTCGATACCGCATATATTGTACAATGAAAATAATTCCAAACTATGCCACAGAAGAACAGTTGAAGTATTTTTTCCCATAACACTGAAGTTGATGGGGACCATTAACTGTTTGGTTACCCATATGCTTCAAAATATCTTCTTTTATTTACAAGTTGAGGGTGAGTAAACGATGACAGAATTTTCATTTTTGGGTGAAATATCACTTTAAGTAACAGCCCTGTAGTGTCTTATTTTTCTTCTGGTCTTATTATTGATGGAGTTTGGGCTCCTTGCCACTGTTGCCTTCTGGCTTGCTTAGTTGGGGTCTGGAAGACACTTAACTTTAAGTAATTTATCAATATGACTGCACTGACTGACACTATTGGATGAGAGCAATACATGAACTGAATTAAGCTGGATGATGGCACTATGGTTGTCTGTAGAGCTGCTTTACAGCTGAATCACATCTTGCAACATCGACACTGGCATTGAACTGAATTGAATCAACACTGAACTGACTCGAGCTGAATAACAACATTGCTGGATTTTGTAGAACTGCTTATAGCTGATTAACTTCACACTGTTATTTGAACTGACTTAAGCTAAATAATGACACTATTGTCTTTTAGGGTCTGTTTACACCTGGTCACTTCAAGCATTTTCTTTGATCAGATAGATATCCGATCGTGAAAAGACATGCAAAATGCCACAAATGAAACTGAAAGTAAGTTGTGGACGTTCAACACACAATAATCTTCATTAAAAGTAGTGAGACTAAATTATCTTACGCGTGCTGATGCCGCGCTCTCTCTAATTGCGGTCTTTGATCTTGAAATTAGCTGATGCAGCACATATCTGTTGCGTTGGTTGCTATGAACTCTGTTAAAATTGCATATAGCGCAGGAATTGAAGATCGGATTTATATCCATTTTGCAGAGACACATTTATGTGGCAAGTGTAAATGGAACCATTTTAACAATTCAGATTAATATCCGATCACTAAAAACAGATGAAGTGACCAGATGTAAACAGGTCTGCTTTAAAGCAGAATCTGAACTGTCTCCATAGCTGAGTTTCCATAACTTATTCTGCTATTTTCATCTATCTCTGAAGATGCTTTGACACAAAATGGATTGTATAAAGCACTACGGAAATAAAGGTGACTTGACTATTCTGACTAGATGATTGATTGACTGAATTTAAGAATTTGACAGAGATGCTACATATATTTGATAAGGTTAAAAAAATTTGCCATTAGAAACGTAAAAAATGCCCTTGGAAATTTAAGAGGGCAAATATTGCCCCTTAATGGAGAAGTTAATTTGTCACAGATGCAGGCACATTGGAATTTGAAATAATAGGTGCAATTTGTACCTGAGGGGTGAGAAGCTGAGGCACTTGAGCACGTAGAGTAGGCTGGGCGGAGCTAAGAGGTGGCACTGGTAGCTGAGGGGGCGAGGCCTGCTGCTGTATGACCCGAGTTTGTGCTGCTCCGTGAGTGCCGAACATTCCATTCTGCATCTAGAAAACAAAGAGAGTGGTGGGGATCAATACAAATGAAATGCTTTTATATACTCTAACAGGCTGGATACACTTAACAGGGGAAAAAAATTAGATAAATTGCAGCTAAAATGTAACAAAATCTCTCTTACAATGCAGTCTCTTAAAAAAATAATTATGTGCTTTTAACATTGACCTGAACACAACGTCAAATAATTTTGCCACTTTCAGATTAAAATGAACAATTAAAATAAATAAATAAATATTGATTTGATATAAATAAAACATAGACGGAAGAGTCAGTCATGTTTCAGTGTTTCCATATCTTTAATTATAAATGACAAATAACTTAATTTCACCACTCCAGCCTTAGTGGCTTTTTAACAACACTTTTCCAAAAAAAAAAAAGGGGGGGGGGTAGGGCATTATACTAGACATTGCAGCTTCATAGGTGCATCTAAATTTAAAACTCTTGTGTGCTATGCCCTTTGCAGATATTTTACAACACTCACCTGTCTGTTGTTCAAGTTTTGCATGGACAGGCCAGAGGAGATTCCACCCAATCCGTGGCTAGGGAGGCTGCTATTGGCCAGTGGGAGTTTGAGGCCAGGAGAAGGCATAAACGGTGAGGATGAAGCATCATCTGACAGCCTACCATTCTGAGAGACCAGAAAATACTTTGCAAAAACTAGTAGTAAAATTTACCTAGATCAAATTTCTCTCTACTCCAGTCCAGAGAATTTCTTCTAAAAAAAGTTTGAGAAAAAGCTATACCTTGTCCAAGAAGGGGGCACGATCCAGTGAGGGGTCTTTGGAGAGGTTTGTGGGTCGGCACACTATAGACTTATTCATTCCATTACTGTAGTCTGACATGCCCATCCCCCGTTTGTCCAATTCAGTTTTCTTCTCCAACAAAGCGCCTGAGGAAAGGTAAGTACATAATCAGTGTTCTAGACCAAGATCATATGACTCGCTGTATGTCTGTCTGCTGTTATGGGTTAACTTCAAAGTGTACTACGTACTCATGGCCTGATCCAGATTCATATTGTTGCTCTTTAGGGCTTCTTCTGCAGGATCCTTCTGTACCAGGTAAAATAAAAATAATTGTTATGTTAAACAGCATTTATTTGACATATCTTGTTAATGATTTAAGCAATCTTTTCAGAGTACATTTTTATGGTTTTAACATACTGGAAAACCCATATCTGTAAGCTGCTTGATAAGTCTGGTCATAATCCAAACATCATCCTGCTTGTTGGAGACCTTGCCCTGTAATGAACAAACAACAGCAATATTACATATCAAAGAGTGAAAAATTTAAGGGGGTCTGAATACTTTCCGTACCCACTGTATATATAAATATAGACTAGTATTCATAAACAAAAATAAAATGTAAACAGTTTCTTAACCACACTGTAAGCATGTGTCATTGCACAATAGCTTCATGGCTTTAAACAGCCTACCCTTTGTGGGCCCTTCTTGGATTGACTCCAGGAGTTACAAGAGGAGTCTTGGGATGTAGGACTGCTCCACATGTCACCATCATCAGCATCCCATTGGCCAGTGTTCATGCCAATCTCTTCCCCTCCTGATCCCCAGCCATCTTGCATAGATTTGGGACCTGACGAAACACAAATGGTCAAGACTGCTCATAATCAGGGCCGTGACCACCATATACATTTTAATCGATGTTTAGATTAGTGGATGACCAACATGGTTGACAAAATTATTACATTTGGTCTGCCCAATACTGAATATATTGTTACACGTTGTTTATCAAGTATGATCCACAGAAAAACCTTAAAGGTGAAGTATGCAATTTCTGTGGCACCAGGGTCACCAAGCGAAACTGCAAACATAATGACAATTTTCACACAAGCTTCCCAAACACTACCACTTTCTGTCACTTGTTGGACAAACAGATAGCCCTGCCCCGATCCCATGCCACTGGTTGAGTATTTCCATGTCAGGCTGGTTGAGATGCTCAAGTTAATGGAGCAAATTTTTTTTTTAAATCCCAGAGAGCCACAAAGTGTATATTTTATGATACGAATAACTTACTTCAAGTTGTCTCAGCATGTAAGATGGTATAACATGAAGTATTTATCAGAAAAAAATACTAACTTCAAATTTAAAGTGAGGTAATGCAAACAGTACTTGACGTACACCAGAGGTCAGTGTAGTTTAACTTTATCATCAAATGGCAACAAAAAGGAATATGAATTACATATTTAAATACAGCAAATTTATGTATCAGCAATGTCTTAGTTTCTAGCAATGTCCATAATAGCGAGTGCTTTAATATGAAAAAATTTGTTCAATTTCATTACCTTCCTGACAGGAGCCTGATCCAGCAGGTGCATTTCCTCTGCCATAAAGTCCACCATTGGAGTCATGGCCACCTTCACCCCATCCCCCACAGCCCCTAGAGGACTGGCCCCAAGCTGAAGTTCCATTGTTCACAGAAGTGTTAGAATTGGCTGGCTCACCCCATGAAGTGGGTTCTGTGTTTGGCTGTACATTAGGGAGCTCTCCCCTGCCTGCTAATTAAAATACAGAAAATAAAATAATTTTTTATATTTAAGGATTTTTATGTCCAAATAATCAATAGATCGATTATCAAAATAACTGCCTTACTTGTTTTGTATAATGCAAAAAAAGCTTAACTGAGTAAGTGCACTGCATCAAATAAAGTGATCAAATTATTTATTACTAACTGAAAACTTGTAGTACAAACAGACACTAAATTCACACTTGTAGAGAAATAAAGATATCATGGATCAAGCTCTCAGAAATATGAAAAAAATCAAACTTTAAATATCAATATCCTAAATTATCCCCCAGTGTTGCAAGAGATGGACACACACACACACACACACACACACACACACACACACAAACGGGTTGATAACAGGGCACCTAGGCCTAATTCCTGGCTCAAACCTGAACCAGCTAGCAGGGGAGGGGCAGCAAAACGCACACTTCGGCATCTTAACTGGTGGAGGTTTTTTTTTTTTTTTTGACAGTGGACAACAGGTATGGTGATAACCTGACCTTCAACAATCAAAGCATATTTTATTAATGCTTGTCAGATGTACAGAGGACTAAAATTAGCTAAAATTAAGAGACAAATATATGCATTCTCTTACCTGGGTTGTCCATGGGCATTCTGTTGAGAGGAGATTCACCTTGATTTGGTGAGCCATTGTTGTTGCTACCACTGACATGGTTCTGAGTAGGACCTTGGCTGTGGTGTTGGTGAGGATTGCTATTGTTGTTTGGCCCAGTGAGGCTATTACTGTTGCTGGTTCCCGGATGATTTTGGGAGTTATTCCTGTCCCACATGTTTACACTCTTACTGTAAGCACTGGGGTCACCCCAGGTGGAGGTCCCATCATCAATTTCCATTTTGCGACGAATAGAAGAAGGAGAGGGTTCTTTCCAGCCTGTGGCCTCATCTCCTGGATCCTGTCGGCCTCCTGATGCCCAGCTAGAGTTGCTCTGTTTCACAGAATTTGGGCCATCCCATGACCCTATGCATCCAGATCCACCATTGCCACATGTGGATTCCTGAAGTTTTCCACCCCAACCTTGGACTGAACCATTGGAATGTTGACCATCACCCCAACTACCACCCTGTGCTGGTGCTGCTTTACCCCATCCTTTCTGGGTTTCTTTCCAGTTTCTGTTGTCAGGTTCCCAAGAGGAACTTCCAGAGCCATTCTTCCGCATTTCTGAAGGGTCACTCCACTCTTCACTATTCCCACTGCCAGTACTTCCCCAGCCTGAGGAAGTTTTGTTTCCATCACCCCAACCTTGTGTTTTCTTCTGAGAAGTACCATCATCCCAGCTAGGGGACTTTTCTTCAGCCCAAGATTGGCCATTACAGCCATTGGTATTGGGACCTTCAGCAATACGATCACCCCAGCCACATACTGATCCATTAGGAACCTTTTTATTTGCAGGTGGTTCCCCCCATCCACTGTTAGGCTGAGCAGAGGCTGGGACTGATCCTCCCCAGCCTGCATTTGGCATAGCTCTGCAAGGTCCCTCACTCTTGCTTGTCTCCATTCTAGGAGGTGCACTGACGTTGGGACAGGCACATCCAGAAGGAGATGGTGCAGGTCCAGCTGAAGGTGTGTTGGAGGAAGACCCCCAGACCTCAGTTCCTGCACCATTCTTTTTGTTTGGACTTTCTTCCATTTCCCAAACAGTGTGTTGGCGAACTGGAGTCTGTCCCCAGCCTGTGTTACAAATAACACGTGGGTCCAAGTCCTGCCTTGGGAGCAAAGGGGCCAAATCATCACTTGAGGACCTCTCTCTTCTTCTTGGGTGGCCCTCACTACTATCCCTGCTGCCCTCACTTGCTGGAGTATCAGGGCCCCAGGAACTCATATGTTCCTGGGAAGGACCATCATTAACATCCCATCCTGTACCTTCAGTGCTTGGTTGTTTGCCCCAGTCACCCCAGCCACCACCACTGCTAGCTCCTCCTTGCCCCCAAGAGGAAACGCCTGCAGAATCCCAGCCTGAGTCCTTTGATTCTCCCTTTTTGGCATCTCCTTTGCCCCAGAAGGCAGTTCCGTCTTCGCTGGCAGGCTCAGTTGCTGACTGACTGAGGTTTCCTCTCCAGCTGTTCACTGGACTCATTGGCTCTGGTTTAGTGTTATTTGGTCCATCATTTTTAAGGTTAGGAGGTTTCATGTTGAAAGATAAATTTGTTGGTGACTGATGCTGTTCTGGGATATCCGGGCTGCCCCATGCACAGTCCCCTACAAGGTTTCCACTGACACAACCAATGCTACCATTTCCATTAGTGCTGTGAGGTGGTGCCACTCCTCCTTGGCCACACATACTAAGCGAAAGTGGATTTGAGCAAACCATGCTACTTGGGCCTGACCCTACCCCAGGCCCCTCATGTCCAAGAGCTGGCCAAGCAGTAGGGTTGGCACTGGGATTTAGGTTCAGATTAGAGGCACCCCAGTTGGACTGCCCTCTACTGCCCATGGACAAGTCAATCTTTCCCTCTAAGACCCAGCCCCTGGTAGGGCCACTTTGACTAGAGACCATACTAGAAGATAGATTAATGCTGGCTTTGCTGATTGGGTAATGACCCTGCTGGCTAGCTCCTGTAGCCATAATAGTGCTGCTACTGTTGCTGACAACCTCTGATGTGCGTTCAGTGTCCAAGGTGCATTCTGGTGTCTGGTGGCTCTTGCCGTATGTATTGGAAGGCCAAGTGTTGGTTTTGTTACAGTTAATAATCACTTTATCCCGGTTGCTGCTGTTGTTTTTGCTGACTGGGATGCTCCAAAGACAATTCTCATGCTGGTCTCCCTGTCCACTTTGATGGGGAAGTTCTGCAAAACAAATACACAGGGTGGATTTTATTAAAGCAAAAACAGATAAAAATGTACACCATTTATCTTAAAATAAAATCAAGGGATATTCATTTTTTTCATTTTAGCATCTCCATCACTGAAAGGGAAACGGAGGTGTAGCAGTGTTCATTTACTGGAATGAATCCAAGACAAGCCCGTCATTCATCATTCCTTGTGGTCTGCCAAGTCCCCACAAAAATGAAGCTTCACCAGCATGTTCCACGGATACTCAAGAGGATGCACACTAAACCAAGATGTACAAGTTTCTCTCTCACACACACAGCTTTACTTCTCTATAATCAATCATGAGACAGCAGGTAATCGATGGTGTGTAAATTATGGTAGAGAGCAGAAAGAGGGCACTGATCTACAATGCAAAAGCAAACTTAAAGGGGCATGTGGCAGCTATATTATTCACTGCATAAATCAAATATGGTGCCCATGACTAAACTAATGTTTAGTTAATAACATGTACATTTTTATCCATTTCCTTGGTGAGTGCCTTTTTAAGCAACTAGTGTATTCTTTTGTAAATTAATTTAAAAGCTGAGGTGGAACAGTGTTCACTTACTAGAATAAAACCAAGACTTTAAAAATAATTTTCTGTATCAGCTCAAACAGATGTGGGGTTTATGATATTGCCTGGCCACAATACTACCCAGTCCCTCAGAATGCAGTTCTTCCATCTATACACTTATCTCCTCTTTTTGTGTAACCTTATCACACAGGCCTGTCAGGCTATAGTGCATTTCAACATCAACCATGCAACCACTGCTTAACTTAGCATTATCAACAAAGAAACAACTGAGCTGAAATGTCATTAGATCGACTTGGCACCATTGGCACAACTGCAAGATTTGAATAACCTGACATCTTAGGTGTAGTGTTTTCATATCAACAGAAAAGCTGATATGTTTGCGGAACAACATGCCAAAAGTAGTGATTTTGAACATGGCAAAGAACGTAACCAAATGTTTATTTCCTGTTTTAGTTTTTTTGATGGCTCAGACAATCCAGCAACTTATTCTCCTGTAGCCAGACACTCTCAGGGACGCCATTTTATCAGAGCTGAAATGCAGCCAAGAGAACAAAGCTGCTGTCTACAATTCTGTCTTTCTTGTTTTCATTCCCTTTTTCACTTTCTCCTCATACACCCTCCTCTACTCACTCTTGTTATTAGTCACGTTCTTTCTCCCTACAGCTTTTTCCTTTCACCTTGTTACTTGACCATCATGGACAAACAAAACAAAACAGTAGGAAGTGGGTGTTTCTATACCTCTACAGCCCTGCCAGCGAAGACCATGTCAACTAGACAAACCCTAGAGACAGATCCACTGTGAAGACCTCGTCGGCCACTGGCACAAGACCACGAGAACCAGACGAGTCCTCTGCTCAATCAGACGTGCGTTGCAGCCTGGAATTACACCACACCATGCTGGTTTCGTCTGGCCAGAGGAGAACTGGCTCCCCGACTGAGACTGGTTTCTCCCAAGGTTTTTATTTTTCCATTTCTGTCACCAATAGAGTTTTGGTTCCTTGCCACTGTCACCTTTGGCTTGCTTAGTTGGGGACACAATTTCTGGCAACACTGTTGACTTGACTGCACAGACGCTATTGGAAGAGAACTGAACTGAGCTGGACGATGACATCACTGAATCAACAATGAACTGACTTTAACTGATAATCTGACAGTTTTCAATTGAGCTCTTGCATTATCAGCACACATTTTTCCTGTTTAACACTGTACAGCTGCTTTGACAATCTGTACTGTATAAAGCGCTATATAAATAAAGGAAAAAAATACCTAGAGAGTGGCTCCACATTACTAGCCTCAAAAAAGCAAGCAAGAGTAAGATGCTGTGACCATTCGACACCAACTTACTTCTGCAACTACGAGTCTTTATGCAGCATGCTGCCTCTGCTTGTAGTACCTCAAACTGAACATTAATCTGCTGAACAATTACTTGTATATTTGTTTTTCATCCTGGTGAATGACCAGAACGGGGAATTTCCAAACTTTGGAAAATAACAGCTGACCCCCCAAAAAAAGAAAGAAATAAAAAAACGGAGATGTTTACCTACAAATTTAGATTTTCTTAAAACATTTGCTTTAATTCAGTCTACAATTACAGCTTTCCAGTCCCAGACTTTCTCTAGCCAAAGTCTCAATGACGTAAAAGACTGTGCTTTTGTCTGAAAATAACTTCCTTGCATACTAATACTGTTCTCTGGATCAAAGGCCTCACTTCTTCCAAATAGTGGAATGGCAAACATGTTTTAAAAGCGCAGCAGTCATGTTTTCCACTTGTCAAAGTCAGATCACAGTGTTCTTTTAGAAGGGCGCTGAGAGAAAGGAGAAAGAAATAGACTGAGTGAAAGAAAAGAGAGAGAGAGAGAGAGAGAGAGAGAGAGAGAGAGAGAGAGAGAGAGACCTAGATGGGTATCAGCTGGGGAGACACTGTGCTAATGAAGCCACAGAGGGGGCTGGCATGCGAGACAGGGACCACCTCTAGTTTAGACACAGATGAGATCATATCTGTAACATAAGTTAAGCACCACCCTGCTAATTTAGCAAGTCCATGCCTTTATAACTGTCTCAATAATGTCTGTTCTATAACTAATCAATTCTAACTGCATGACTACAGTATACAGCACTTATATTGACAAATTCCAAAATTGTGATTTGAACTGTTAAATTATTTATATTTAACATATTTCTGTTGCTTTAGATATCTTAAGACTAAACTACAAAAAGGTATTAAAATCACATTGAAATAGCAGCTCTCAAAACTTGTACTGCATACATTCTGCTGACTGTTTTTGAGTACAGCAATATATCTAATGTAAATGCTCTAAGAAATGTGTCTGATCAGGGTCATGTAAAACGAAACCATATAGGGCTTCTCTACGACTGATTTATTTATTAATTATTATTAAAGGGAAACCACTGACTAATCACTTATGAAAAAATGTAGTTCTGCACATCCCAAAATTAAACCTTAGCTTTTGCAGTTCAAAAGGTCATTTCAAATAAACAAATAAACCCTGTTCTCTGCTTAACTTGGATTTTTGATGGTATTTGAATCCCAGAAGCACATATTTCTAAAATATTAATTAGCAGAAAATGAAATGCATATGAAACAGCGAAGACAATAACGACTCAAGAGTTGACAAAGCCATTACTAGGCATGAAACAGCTGGTGAGCCCCTGATCCCAGGGATTCCCCTCTGTCCAAGCTCTGCTCTTCCACCTGCCATTAAACCAGATTGGAGTGAATCGCAAACACTCTCAGTCATCAACCAGAGGGATGTAGGGGAGGGGGCCAGTAAACAATAATTGCAAAAAACACTTGAGACAGAGTCCCTCAACCTTGCCGCTCCCATGACCTCGGGCTTAGAATGAGACTTAAGAGGTCAATGCCAGACTTGGTCAGGGTGTAGCAGGGTGGGGGACACAATCCCGCCCTCGGCCTTTAAATCATAGCCACTCTACACTTCTACATCCCAACTGGGCCATGAGGAGGAATACAATCTCTCTATTAAGACAACTGGAGATGTAACGATTCCCTCAACTCACGATTCGATTCATGATTTTGATTTCACGATTTGATTTGATTCACAATTTTTTTTTTTTTTTTTTTACAAAATTAGATTAAGACAAATTATAAATTAAATGTGTCCTCTTATTATTGCTTGGACAAAATGCTGCATGTTTCTTTGTGAAATTGAAATATAACCCTATAATAATATACTAATATAGCACTTGCATATTACTGCTCTTTTGTTGGTTTTGATTGCTTCTGTTGTCCTCATTTGTAAGCCGCTTTGGATAAAATGACAAAATTTAAATATAATGTAAAAGTAAATAACAAAACTAAATTGAAATTTTAATACAAGCCCCAAATCAAATAAGTAACACAAATAAAATAAATCTCTTCATATAAACAAAATAAGGCTTTTATTTAAGTATACATAAAAAATATCTGCATGAAAGCGGAGCTGAATGAGATGCAGATTCACTCTCTGCCAGCAGGTGACGCTTAAAGCATTTCCTTGATTTCCGCTATAAACAAAGCAGTGCTGCACTTATATGCAACTTTAATATGCATTATACAGAGTCAAGATCAAAAGAAACATTACCATCTTAACTTTTCTAAAGTCAGTAAGTTCCTCTCAGACATACATTCATATAAATCCTACCCCTAATTGAATTGCGATTTGTTTAGCATCTCAACCGATTTGTATCATCACATATTTGAATCGATTTTCAACCGGCTCGTGGTTAATCGTTACATCCCTAAAGACAACAAATGATAAAAAAATACCACAATTCATCTCTATTCACAGTAAGAAGCCTATGAAAATAAACATCTTAGTCTCTCCTTCAAAAACAGAACATGATTCTCACCCGTGTGCCGTTTGCTGGTGGGCGTCTCGGGAGGGGAGATGACCCCGGACTGAGTGCAAGCAGAGGTCGGGTTCAGAGCGCCTGTAGGTAAAGGTTGACCCCTCTTCAGTAGCTGCCTCTGCTCCTGCTGTCGGAAGCGTGGAGGAACCTCTCTGGGCACATATCGGGGACTGGGCTGCTGTAATGGAGGTAACTGCTGTTGTAGGGAATTACAAGGGCTACGCTTGCCATTGCTGGTGGTGGCAGCAGAGGGTACAGGCAGGTTCGGGGTCAGAATGGGGCTGGAAGGGATGCTGGGATTGGGTTTAACAGAGTCTGGCACTGCAAGAGAAGGGGAAATTTAAAGAAAAAAGTTTAAATTTAGATAAATTAAGTGATAGAAATAAGTGTCAATATATCAAACTACAATAAAACTGCAATCATCTTATTCATAGCCTTTGTCAGATTTTTTAAGCTGCACCACAGATTTTTTTTTTCATTAAAAATGAACAAAATTAAATTATTTAACGAGTACATAAAAAAAATCAGGTTATAAAAATTTATACTTTGGTAAGATTCACTATGGTAAGCCTAAATAATTTACATTTCGAGCTGTCAAGTCAGATTTCAAATTTTGTGCCTATGTCATCCAATATTGTTTATGTCAAGCCCATGTGCACAGAAGACAGTCCGACTACAATAGCATGTAGCATGTGTAGATGCAGCTTGTTGTTACAACAAGTAGTGTTGTTTCAACTAGTCAACTAGCTAGCATTTAACATGACTAATTCTGAACAGCAACCCTGGATGACCTTTTGGGGAATCACTCTTTCAAAATAAAAAGAATACTTGAACTCCAGAGAGTCAAAAGGGGAAAGCAACAGAGCCTGTGTAAAAAAAAAAAAAAACTCTTCTGAACCACAACTGCAGAAATGATTCTTAATTACTCAGATGACACACTTTCTCATATATGTTTTGCTGGAAATGTTTTTTATGGTCTAAATTAGCTTTGATATGGTGATCATATATGAAAATCTTGACATTAGATTTCCTTGGCATATTCGTGAGAATTCATGAAAGAAACATCAACATCTGTTTCATGAAAGAATCATTTTGATGATCATTTCAAAGAAGCATTTGAGCAACTTTGTTAAATGCTCTCAATAATTTGCTGACGAAACAAACTGATCCAGTTCTTAATATTAACTGACCAACTCAATGTACCAGATGCACTGGTTAAAGGGATAGTTCACCCAAAAAAATGAAAATTCTGTCATGAACTAATCTTCATGTCATTCCAAACCTGTGTCTTCCTTTTTCTGTAAAACACCAAATAAGATATTTTGTGTTAGCTGATTTTGTCCATACAGAAACAGTTAATTTGGTCGATTGGGATTTTGTGATAGAATTTTCATTTTGGGGTTAATTATTCATTCCTTAATTATTCCCTATTTAATTCACTGGAAAGTAGGGATGGACGATATGGCCAAAAAAATTATCATGATAACATTTTTCATATCAGTCGATATCGATAATTTACATTTACATTTACATTTAATCATTTAGCAGACGCTTTTATCCAAAGCGACTTACAAATGAGGACAATAAAAGCAGTCAAAACTGACAAAAGAGCAACAATATATAAGTGCAAATGACAAGTCTCAGTTAGCCTAACGCAGTACACGTAGCAAGGTGTATATATATATACATATATATTATACACACACACACACACACACACACACAAAGAAAGAAAAACAAGCAGATAGAATAGAAAAAATAGAAAGCTAGTGTTTGTTTTTTGTTGTTGTTTTTTTTAAATAAAGAACAAAAAAATGAAAAGATAAATATAGATAAAATAGAATTATAACAGAATAGAAAGTGTTAAAGTTAGAGGGTCAAATAAAGGTGCAACAGATGTGTTTTTAGTCATTTCTTGAAGATGGGTAAGGACTCAGCTCCTCGGATTGATTTGGGCAGGTCATTCCACCAGGAGGGAACAGTTAGTGAAAAAGTATGTGAAAGTGATTTCCATCTAAAAGAGGCACAATAATACGCTGTTCACTAGCAGAACGCAAGCTTCTGGAGGGCACATAACTCTGAAGTAATGCATTTAGGTAAATGGGTGCAGAGCCAGTGGTGGTTTTGTAGGCAAACATTAATGCCTTGAGTTGACAGGAGAATCTGGTGGTTCACCATATCAAAAGCAGCAGACAGATCCCGCAAAATAAGTATAGAAGATTTGGAAGCCGCTCTTGCCAGTCTTAGGGCTTCAACAACTGAAAGCAAGGCAGTCTCGGTCGAATGTCCACTTTTGAAGCCAGATTGGTTGCTGTCCAGGGGGTTGTTCTGTGTGAGAAAGGCTGAGACTTGGTTGAATACAACTCGTTCAAGTGTTTTTGCAATGAAAGGTAAAAGGGAAATTCTCTAAAAGAGTTGGGTTAAGAGTGGGTTTCTTAAGAAGTGGGGTTATACGAGCCTGTTTAAATGTTGAGGGAAAAACACCAGTGTGAAGGGATGTGTTAATGATAAGTAACGATAAGATTAGTGATAATTATCACGATAAATTTCAAATCTTTATTTCTTTCAAGTTTAAAGGCAGATTTTTGCTCCTAAGTGAAAGTTGTATAAACCAGACCATTAATTGTGGTTTTAAACTACTCTTTATAGTCAGAACATGACAAACACTTCACATTTTTGAATTCTTTACACTTTTCCAGTCATTTTTCCTTAACAAAATAAACGTCAATATAAAAAAATTAATTTCTTTGTATCTGCATGTTCTAATGAGTAATATTGTTTCAAATCATGAAACAGGTTTGTGTTGCCTGACTTTGATGACGTGTATCTTCAGCACAGTTTGCAGTGCAGGCTGCAATATTAAAAATATTATGTATTTTTGTCTCTTAGAAATGCACATTTGACAGTAGCTTGAGTTGACAGTAGTAGTAGCTTGAGTTAGGATGCATATGTAAATTTATGTTCATTATCAAAAACAGTAACATCTGTAATTGTAACAACCTCATTTTTATATGGTGAAATTTAATTATTCTGACTATGTTTTATTAAAATTAACCATTGGTCTTCCATAGTAGCATACAATTACACTGAACAAAATTATGAACGCAACACTTTTGTTTTTGCCCCCATTTTTCATGAGCTGAACTCAAAGATCTAAGACTTTTTCTATGTACACAAAAGGCCTATTTCTCTCAAATATTGTTCACAAATCTGTCTAAATCTGTGTTAGTGAGCACTTCTCCTTTGCCGAAATAATCCATCCACCTCACAGGTGTGGCATATCAAGATGCTGATTAGAACAGCATCCATCCCAAACATGCTCAATGGGTGACATGTCCGGTGAGTATGCTGGCCATGCAAGAACTGGGATGTTTTCAGCTTCCAGGAATTGTGTACAGATCCTTGCAACATGGAGGAGGACGACGAGCATGCAGATGAGCTTCCCTGAGACGGTTTCTGACAGTTTGTGCAGAAATTCTTTGGTTATGCAAACCGATTGTTGCAGCAGCTGTCCGGGTGGCTGGTCTCAGACGATCTTGGAGGTGAAGATGCTGGATGTGGAGGTCCTGGGCTGGTGTGGTTACACGTGGTCTGCGGTTGTGAGGCCGGTTGGATGTACTGCCAAATTCCCTGAAACACCTTTGGAGACGGCTTATGGTAGAGAAATTAACATTCAATTCACGGGCAACAGCTCTGGTGGACATTCCTGTAGTCAGCATGCCAATTGCACGCTCCCTCAAAACTTGCGACATCTGTGGCATTGTGCTGTGTGATAAAACTGCACATTTTAGAGTGACCTTTTATTGTGGCCAGCCTAAGGCACACCTGTGCAATAATCATGCTGTCTAATCAGCATCTTGATATGCCACACCAGTGAGATGGATGGATTATCTCGGCAAAGGAGAAGTGCTCACTAACACAGATTTAGACAGATTTGTGAACAATATTTGAGAGAAATAGGCCGTTTGTGTACATAGAAAAAATCTTAGATCTTTGATCATTGTATTAATCTCAATACAATGGAAAGAATGTAACTATGGTAACTATGCTACGCTTCACACTTGTAGCATCTGCGTAGAATCATGCATGATCTTTGGGGTTTTATGGCTTAAGAGTTATTAAATCCCTTATATCCACAACTGATTGTCTCTGTTTGCTGCTCACAATTCGAAGTCAATGAATGTTTGAACCCTTGCTACATTTGCTAAATTACTGCTAGCACTGCATAAAGAAGGAACAATTATTCTTCCTTGGCCAGGAAAATAATCTTTCCTTGAATTGATAAATGATTATATTGTCTGCTTGGTGGACGGACAGATCAAGTAATTTTAATATTGATTCTGCTACAGTTAATTCGAAGATATAATCTAAATATTTATCCTTACGACTAATCATAACCAGTTATGATTAGTCGTAAATATTTCCATTTTGAGCTTGATTTACTACACACTGGATCTCACAGCACTGTTTACTGTCGTGTGACTAAGACTCATCAGCGAGTGAGATGAGTTTCTGGGGCCCGTTTCAATAAGGAGGTTCAACCAACTCTGAGTTGAAACTTGAACTCTGAATTAACTTACCCTGAGATGGGAAACTCTGAGTTTTCGGGTTCAGAACAGCTGAATTGAATAAGTTAAATCGACTCGGAGTAGGTTGACTCTGAGTTTAGCACGTGCACCACAACTATGAAAAGCCATGATCAATGGAGCTCCGAAATTATGATTCACCATGGCAACAACAAAAAGACATCTGCATACTTCCGAGTCAATACGTAACTTTAATTCTTAATCAGTTATAATATCAACGGTAAAAAGTGGCAGAATGGTAAATTATTGAAGCAATATTAACTTACATGGTATCCTACAGGCAAAAGAAAAGAAAAAATAACAAAATAAAAGAATGAAGTATAAAAACATAATTCAATCAAGGTAAAGCTTTAAGCATAAAAGGTTCATGAGTGTAGGCTACATAACTTTACAAGCATTCGATATATTAAATATTTATCATTCAGCGTCTATTTCAGTGCGCAGCAGCTTTTTCCACATAGTCTAATGCTCTTTTCACAATTAAATGTTCTCTAATCCAAACTGTTGCATTTCTTAATTAGAGTAATTAAATTAACATTTGACTTCTACTCAGCCAACAGCAAGAAGGTTTGCAAAATAATGAAGAACAGATCAAGAGAAGTTGGCCACAATACCAAGTATTGGAAGAATATTAAAATCCAACAGGAAAAATAGTAACTGTTGCTTCTTTATTTGTAGGAAATAAAGATGACCAAATAAAATTAACAGCTGTAGTGGTGGTTACCGCATATATCT